CCGATATAAATAGGAGTTTACTTCTGGACTCGTGATTCTGTTCCACTGGTCTGTGTGTCTCTTTTGCTGCCAATACCATGCCATTTTGATTACTGTCGCTTTGTAGTACAGTTTGAAGTCGGGCAGAGTGATGCCTCCAGCCTCGTTCTTTTTTCTCAGAATGGCTTTGCCAATTTGGGGTCTTTAGTGCTTCTATACAAATCTGATGATTTTTTGTTCTATTTCTTTAAAAAATGCCAATGGGATTTTGATGGGGCTTGCATTAAATCTACATGATGCTTTAGGTAATATGGTCATTTTAACTATGTTGATTCTTCCAATCCAAGAACACAAAATATCTTTCCATTTCTTTGTATCTTCTTCAATTTCTTTTAATAGGGTCTTGTAGTTTTCATTATATAGGTCCTTCACATGTTTCATTAAATTTATTCCTAGGTATTTTATTCTTTTTGTTGCAATTGCAAAACGCATTATTTTTAATATACTTTTTAGATGATTGTTTTCTTTCTCTGTGCTAAAGTTTTCATGTGTATAGTTGTTGAGTGCTTTGTTAGATTTTGCTCTTGTATCAAAACTGAGTAGAAAACACAAATTTAGAACTGCTATTTCTAGAGACAGTATTATCACTAGTAAACGTGTTCATGTTGAAACAAAGATGGAAATTATTAGTAATGTGGAAGCAGTTCGTGATTAGCCTTTAATCAGTGGTCATTAGACTTAAATCAGTTGATGATGTTTGGTTATGAAAGAAACAAAAGTTAAGGACATGTATAAAGTATTAGAAATCTGTTACCAAAGAGTGTGCCTAAAAACGAAGGTAGAGAGTCTATAACATTTAAAGCTCTCCAGGAAGCTACCTTTAACTACCCCTCAACACGGAAACCTATTGTTTGTGTTTCATATGTGATTTTGTATCATTCTAGAGGTGTACTGGGTGATCGTGTGTGTGTGTGTGTGTGAGAGAGATACATATGTATGTATACACACAGAATTTATATTCCATTGGAATCTCTGTCTCCCTTCATGCTAACTTGAGTCTCACTCGTGTTTAGTATAGACACGTGTCCTTGTTTCCGTTACTAGGAAAGCTGACCTACATGACTACAATAAATGTAGGCAATGCGGAAGTTCGTTCATCGTGGCACAGGGCAGCGCATGCCTTGGCAGCAGCACTGGCCATTCCTTCCATCTGGGCTGCTCTCCCTGCAGGCCTGGAACTCCCTCCTTAGCCCCTAAAATCTTGGCTTCAATGGCACTTTTTCAGTGAGGCCTTTCCTGAAGACTCTATTTAAAATTACAAACCTTTTTCCTCACCTGTTAAATTCCCTGTTTCCGTTTAATTCCCTTTAATTTTTCTATAAGGTATACCACTTAAATACTAAGTATTTTACTTATGTTGACTGCCTTTCTTCTTCTCACTAAAATATAAGTTCCTGAAGGGCAGACATATGTTTTACTCATTGCTATAGCCTTAGAACCTGGAGCAGGTTCAACATACATTTATGGAATGAGTGATTTATCATGTCCAGGTCAGTCTGGCTTCTGTATGTAGGATGCATTGTAGGGCAGCAGGGATTTAAGTAGGAAGTCCAATCAGGTGACTATTGAGGGAGTCTGGTTGAGTGGAAAGAGTAGCTTAAATATTTGGGGATGGAAGAAATGTAATGAGCGAAAGGAAAGAAATCAACTTGTCCTAGAAGAATGGGGACTCCTGCCCAAGCCCCACACCCACCCCAATACTCTGCAGGCTTCTACTACAGACAGTCCCAGCCATAAATACTGAAAGACCTGTGCTTTCCCAGACCCCTGGTCCTGGGGACTCTTGTTCATATCCTGACAAGTACCAAACGATATAAATCCTAGAAGTTAACGAGGCACTGTAAGACAATATGGGAGTATAGGTTACCATTTGAAAGTCCTGTTTAGGAAAAAAGGAAAGGAAGAGAGAGCTATATAATTTTTAACACAAAATAATAATGGTAATAATAACAGTTAAGAATCATCGAACCCTTGTTATGGCCAAAGACAGTGCCATGTGCATTATAGGGTCCTTATTCAATGAAATAGCAAAATGGCACAATCTGAAGTGTTGTCCAGGCCTGGAAGAGCTAGTTTTTCACCGTTAGTGCTCAAGTTCTAAGCCCACAGTATTTCACTCATTCCGAGTAAAGCCACCCTAACAATTTTATGTTTTCTAGAGAGGCAGTTATATAATTAGAAAAACAAAATTTCCTCCCCTCTCTATTGTCTAATTACTCATACTTTTGGAACAATAATAGCAGTAATAATAAATATCTTTTCCTTGATTCTGTTATTAATGTGAATTCTTCTAGTGTTTTATTTTTATACTTGGTACAGTGTTAAAATTTTTGGTTTTGGATCAGGATTGAGTGTTGAATTTTACCAAATACTTTTGAAACATTTATCAGGCTGAGCGTATGTCCTTTTTCCATGGTCTATTAATATGATATTAAGAGATTCCTAATAGTGAACATTCTGGAATTCCTAGACCAATCCTTTGTTCAAATTGAATATTTAAGTAATATTTCAGGAATGGTTAGGAGTACTGTAATTACTGAATTTTCATATTTAAGAATGTGCTTTTGCTTTCTCTGTACATGAATAGAGTACTGGCCTGTTGAATTCTTGAGTCACATGTGGGTAACCTATTTTTAGCCTATTTTTCTTAAGCAGTAACTCTTCAGCGTTAACTTTTAAATTAGGTCTCTAAATTCCATGAAGATATAACAAATCTTATTAAACTTTTGGCAGTACATAGTGTTTCAACTTAAAATGATTAATATTTTCCAACATAGCAAACATTTTGTTCTCATTTGTTTTTTGAAATGGTATATATAATGTGTAAAATACACATTATTTAACAAAAACCTACATATTCTAATGTAAATACTATAAATATTAACTAATTTTTGTTTTTACATCAACACTGTGAGATCATTACCATTTAACAGGTGAGAAAACTTGAGGACAGATATGTTAAGTAACCTGCCCAAAGTCACACAGCTAACAGTGTCGTGGATCTCAAATTTGAGCCAGGTAGTGTGGCTCCAGACTTGTTGTCTTAACCATTATGACATACTGCTTCTTTTTATAGTTCATAATGATGAAGACTAATGAACAGGAAAGAAATTAAACACACAAGCACTAGAACCCAGAGTAAGAAACAGAATATCACTGGTGTCCTCACCATGCTGTGTGCACCTCCTCATCCACACATTCCTACCTCTCCCTAGGATGCGACTTTTGTAGTAATTTCCTTCCTTTGCTTTTCTTTATAGTATTGCCATCCATAAATGAACCGCTAAACAATATATTTACTTTTAGTCTGTTTTTAAAGTTTATCTAATGGATTCTTGCTATATGTATTTTTCTGGGACTTTGTTTGAATTATTTAATTCATTCATATTGACAATATGTAGCTTTAGTCTATTAATTTTAACTAGTCAGTTCAGGCTGGTATAAGAGAATACCATAGACTAGGTGGCTTAAACATTAAATATTTATTTGTCACTGTTCTGGAGGCTGGCAGTCTGAGATCAGGGTGCCAGCGTGGTAGGGTTCTTGGTGAGGACCCTCATCCTGGTTCACAGACAGCAGCCTTGCTGTGCCCTCACATGATAGAGAGCAGAGAGGAAGCAGGTGCACTAATCCCATCACAAGGGCTCCACCCGCATGACCTAATGACCCCACAAAGGCACCGCCTCCTAAATTATCCCATTGGGGATTTGGCATCAACATAAGAATTTTGGGGAGACACAAATATGAAGTCCACATTTACTATTGTCAGTAATTCCTTTGTATAAATATTTGACAGTTTATTTATCCATTCTATTAATGATGGATATTTGTGTTGGCGTCCTTTTTTTTTTTTTCGCTATTGTGCAATGCTACTTTTAAAATTATTAATTGTGGTATACCTCTGCAAGTTAGACTTAACCTATGTGTGTAGACCTATTAGTGGGCTTGCTAAACCACCCATTCAGGTTTCCTTTTATTAAGTGCCTATTCAAGTCTTTGCCAATTTTTCTAGTGAGCTTAGTGTTCCACAGACATTGTCTTCCAGGTCTAGGTACTAGTTCTTCATGAGTCATTGTTACAAATATCTTTTTAATTTTTTTTAAATTTTATTTTGTCTTTGGATGACTGGAAGCATGTAATTATTCTTCCAATGTTTATTCTCCCTTTTGGTTTTTTTGCTGCTTTTATCTTCCCATTCTGTTTATATTTAAACATTTTACTTCTTAACACTCTACATAGTTTCCAAACTTAGTATTTTCTGCATATCACCTGTGAGTGGAGGTGGTTCTGTCTGGAGTTTGTGTTTGTCTGACGGTGTGAATGGGTCCCATTTGCCCTTTGTGTTTTTCTTGGTTATACTCTAAATGTTCTAAGGAAACTGTAATTGGATAGCTGGATATGATAGTGAGGCGGGACAAGTGGCTGCCTCTAATGTATGTGTTGTCTCTTATTTTCATACCTGTCTGGATAGGTCTTCTCTGGTTACTCTGATGTGCACGTGTTGGAGGAAGATCCAGCTTTGCTTACCACTTTTTCTTTAATGTAAGCAGATCAGGTTGGAAGGAGGTGGTCCAGTTAGTGCATACCCCTTGCCTCACAGTAAAGCCCTTGCCCACAGGCCTGTGGTCTCCTGGTTCAGTGTTGATATCTGCTGTTGACTTGATCATGCTGACAACTGGATTCTTAAGTTGTAGTTTCCTGCCCTCCACCTCTCTGCCCTCAGGCCATCTGTCGGGCATAAGATACGGGGTCTGAGAGAATGAAGTCTCAGTGGTTCCCCTGTTATTTATGGTTCACTTTCTTTCCCTTCTTTCCAGTTGTCTTCCTAATTGTAGGGACATCTTCGAAAGCTCTCAGATATGCCCTATAGTTACTCTGTTTTATTCTCATTCCCACCTTATACAGTTTTCAGTCTCCCAGCACAGAAACCAATGTGCATTTGAATTTTTTATTTTTTACAGACTGCGAGACAAGACTTGAAACCAAAGAGCCAACTCTAAAGCCCAACATTACTGAAGATTTATCCTATAGGGTAATAATGGAAAGGGAAGGTCTCTGGCATTCTTCTTTAGGGAAAACCTGGGAATCTGATAGTTGGTTAGAGGGGCAACAGAAAAACCAGGATAGACTTCTGGGTCAAGTGGCCTTTACCCAAAAGGAAACCCTCACTGAGAGGAGGGTATGTGGAGGTAATGAATTTGAAAGATGTTCCAGTCAGTGTTCAATCATTGATAAACAACAAAATACTCCTGGGGGGAAAAGGCCTTATAATCAGAATTCACATGGAAAAGATATCAAACAAAATTCTGAATTAATTAAAACTCAAAGAATGTTTGTAGGAAAGAAGATCTATGAATGTAATGAATGTGGGAAGGCCTTCGGCCAGAGCTCATCTCTTCTTAAGCACCAGAGGATTCATACTGGAGAGAAACCCTATAAGTGTAATGTATGTGGGAAGCACTTCATTGAACGCTCCTCCCTTACTGTACATCAAAGAATTCATACTGGAGAGAAACCCTACAAATGTAATGAATGTGGGAAAACCTTCAGTCAAAGCATGAACCTTACTGTTCATCAAAGAACTCATACTGGAGAGAAACCCTATCAGTGTAAAGAGTGTGGAAAAGCTTTCCGCAAGAATTCATCCCTTATTCAGCATGAAAGGATTCATACTGGAGAGAAACCCTACAAATGTAGTGAATGTGGGAAAGCTTTTACCCAAAGTATGAATCTCACAGTGCATCAAAGAACACATACAGGAGAAAAACCCTACGAATGTAATGAATGTGGAAAAGCCTTTAGTCAAAGTATGCATCTTATTGTACATCAGAGAAGTCATACTGGAGAAAAACCCTACGAGTGTAGTGAATGTGGAAAAGCGTTTAGTAAGAGCTCAACTCTTACCCTGCACCAACGAAATCACACAGGAGAAAAGCCCTACAAATGTAACAAATGTGGGAAGTCCTTTAGCCAAAGTACATACCTTATAGAACATCAGAGACTTCATTCTGGAGTAAAACCTTTTGAATGTAATCAGTGTGGAAAAGCTTTCAGTAAAAATTCATCTCTTACTCAGCATCGGAGGATTCATACTGGAGAGAAACCTTATGAGTGTATCGTATGTGGAAAACACTTCACTGGACGATCATCCCTTACCGTACATCGGGTTATTCATACTGGAGAGAAACCGTATGAATGCAATGAATGTGGAAAGGCTTTCAGCCAGAGTGCATACCTTATTGAGCATCAAAGAATTCATACTGGTGAGAAACCCTATGAATGTGATCAGTGTGGCAAAGCCTTCATTAAGAATTCGTCCCTTATAGTGCATCAGAGAACTCACACAGGAGAGAAACCCTATCAGTGTAACGAATGTGGGAAAGCCTTCAGTCGGAGTACAAACCTTACACGACATCAGAGAACTCATACATGAAGAGAGTTTTTATTGGACCCTTTACCATGATTAACTCTTCAGTGATAATCAGATTAGTCATATAATGTAGAAACCTAATAAATGTAACAGTCTTAGGAATCTTTTAGTTGAAGTATATTATACCATATCAGATAATACAAACCACTGCAGAGAAACCATATAAAAGTGGAAAGATCTTGATTGATTCAGAAAGTAAAACTTTGTCAGAAGGTTTAAGTAGCTGACACTCTAAACAATGAGGATTCATGCTGAAGATAAGTTCTCTTGTATCATGCTGCAGATTCTCCAGTGGGCATCAGAGACTTCACACTGGAGAGAAAATGTGAGTGCTTAATTGGACAGCCCAGAGTCCTGGTATATAATCTGATCTGCCACTAACCTGGTCAAGCCACCTACTTTCACTGAGTCACAGTGTCCTAATTTGGTAAATGAGGGATTTTGGATTTAGAAGGTCTCCGGGATCCCTGTGAGCTCTGAAAAGCTACAGACCTATAAATATAATGAATGGTGGGATATCCTTGATCCTTTACCATGTTATATATGTTATGTAGATGCTCCTATTCCACAGTATGGTTTCTCTGGATGTTGTGACTTAAAATTTTCTACCTCTCAATCCTCTTATCCCTCCAAGTTCCTCCCCTTCTCCTTGAATTATTTTCTTCCCTAAAATATAGGCTGGTTGCTACTAGATGATGGAATAATTGTACAAATCTTAAGGCAATAGCATGCTGTTTTGAATTTACAATTAACAGTCATTAAATTGTTGTTAAATAAGCTAATTATTTAGAAGACACTATAACTTAAATATAGTCTTTAAGTATATAGGATTGAAATGCATATCTTTGTATCATACACTGTCAAAGGAAAATGAAAATAGGCTAAACACTAATAGACATGAATGTCTAACTTATTAACAAAATCTTTAACTCAAAACCTATTCAGAACGATCACATGGACATTTTATGGACCTATAATTAAGATGGTAGGTAAGACAATTTCATTTATTTCACACACATTTAATAAGTGCTAAATATGTGCTAGACACAGTAAGAAAATCAAAATAATATATTCTTGTTTCCCAAGTTTTAAACTGAGAAAGTGGCAGTGGGATGGGAGAAGAAAAGAAGAATTCAAGCAACAGTGAGACAGAATCTAGATAACATAGTAACTGATTAAATGTGGGCATGTGAATTTATTTGGGTAGGTAGGGATGCCATAATTAAAAACATAAAGTTGACCAATTTTGTGGGGGAAATGATGAGTTCAGCCTGGGGGCATTTTGATGAGTCTGGATATCCAAGTGAGACTTCCTAACGGGCAGCAGAATAAGTAGAAGGACAGTGATGGAAGGCTGCTCCTGGAGTACAGTAGTCCCCCCTTATCTACAGCTTTGCTTTCCACAGTTCCAGTTACCCACGGTCAACTCAGGTCCAAAAATATTAAATGGAAAATTCCAGAAATAAAACAATTCACATTTTAAATTATGTATTGTTCTGAGTAGCATGGTGAACTCTCGTGCCATCCCACTGTGTCATCACCTCACTTTATCACATTACGTAGGCATTGTATCATGTCATATCACAAAAAGAGTGAGTACAGTATAATAAAATATTTGGAGACCTCATTCACAATTTGCTACAGTATATTGTTATAATTGTTCTAGTTTATTATTATTGTTAATCCTTTACTATGCCTAATTTATAAGCTGAACTTTATCATAAGAATGTATTTATAGGAAAAAAAACATAGGACATATAGGGTTCTGTATTATCCATGGTTTTGGGCATCCAGAGGGGGTTCTGGAGCATGTCCTTCATGGATAAGAGGGGATGGCTGTACTGTTATTGAGTGGGGAAATGGAGGAAATGGAATCAGTAGAAGCTGAGGGGAAACAGCCAAGAAAAACATAAAAAATATCAGAAGAAGGTGGTGGCACAGAAGTAAAGGGAATTTTAGCACAGGGACAGGAATAATATTTCCAAATGCTACAGAAGGTTAAAGTAAGATAACAATAGAAATATGGCCTTTAGTTTTTGTTATTTGATAACCTCTGTAAATTTTAGTAGGTTGAAGAGTGAGTTAAGGGTTGAAAGAGACTTAGTAGCGTGACTGGGAAAGGAAAGTTCAGAAAGATAACTAGAGGGAGACAGAGAGGGTAGAGCTATCAGAAGAGCTTTGGGCTACACATAATAGGCCAGTTAATAATGGCTTACAAACAGATAGTTTATTTCCTCACATAACAAATCTGGAGGTGACTGGCATTTGTTCAGAGACAAAATAATTCAATGTCTTGAGTTTCATGGTGTTGCCATCATGATCACATGATGGCTTCCGTAGCTTCAGGTAAAATATCTGTGAAAAGTGCTGACTTAGCGAACAATCTGCTAAGACTGTGTACGTGATTCCAGGTAGAAGAATTCACGTTTACTACCTAAAAGGGGCATGGAGTGTTGAATGGTGTGGAAAGGAAGGACATGCAACTTAACATGGGGAATAAGATCTGGAGCACAGGTAGAGGCCATGGGAATCTTTCTCCAGGGAGAAAGAGACTGTCCATGGGGAGAGCTGGTGATCAGTGATGTGAGCAGAGGATGTTTGTGCGTGACAATGAAGGAAGTTCCCAATGGATTCTCAGTGTTTGGTCCTTGAGCAATTCAGTCTCTTTGGGCTACATGACCTCTAAGTTTTAATTATGGAGTGTGAACATCAGAGACAGAATGAAACTGAATTAACTATCCTCAGAAATAGATTTCAAATAATATCTCCATTATATCCAGTTTCCTCTTTTCCCTTCACTTATTTTTTCGTTTTCCTGCCCCATCTCAAGAGACAGGAAGGCGAAGAAAAGAGGCAGAGGAGAAATGGGTAGAAAATAGATGAAAATGATAGCACAATAAAGGCTCAAAAGGAAGGCGCAGGACAAGGTTGGAGAGGAAAAATGAAGTTATTGAAGCATAAGGTGGATGCAGTAACTCAAGATTGGTAAAATATTGACCCATAGAGGGAGCATCAAGGGAAATGAGTCAGATAATTGGAGGTTTCACTACTATTTCAGGAGTCTGGGAAGCCTTAGGCCCTCCATGTGTGGCAGCCATTCTGGGCAACGACTAATGAGGACAACCTTTGCACCCTTCCTCTATCAATAGGTGCAGGACTCCTGGCTGCATGTGCTAGATATCAGACCTTGGGCAGGACATTGGACATAATGATGCCTTGGTTTTCTCATTTGTTAAGTGTATAAACCTCAGCTTTGGATTACAGATAACTAACGTAAAGTGCTTATAAAAGTGCCCAACATGTAGTTAGTGGTCAACGAACGTTTTATTATCATCCTCATGTACCTGAAAACAGAATAATACCCAAACTTCTTAGTGTGACGTCCAGAACCCTTAATTATCTTTAAATGACTAGGCTCTCCAAACAGATACCTTGTAGAAGGGTTATGTAATGGAATCTGTCCCTCCCTGGACTGCTAATAGCCTAACAGGTTTCCCTGTATGCCCTCGAGCCCCACCAGCCTGTTCTCCTCACAGTTGACCAGTGATTTCTGTCAGTGTGCTCAGCCATGTCACTATTTTGCTGAACCCCCGTGGGTGGTTTCCATCACAGATTAAATCCAGAGTTCCTACAATGGCCTCAAGGCTTCTGGTTGCCTCCGACCTCATCCCATCTCCCACTCTCCCCAGTTCACATGCTCTCCGTTCTGGTCCTGCTAAGCCTCAAACTCATCAGCCCTTCTCAGGACAGCGTTCCTGTTCCCTCCTCAGATGGCTTGTTCCCAGGTAGGCAGGTGGGTTCCTCCCTGTCTCTATTCCATTCTCTATTCACATGTTATCTCCTCAAAGAAAACTTCCCCAAATGCTACTTATAATTAACTCCCATTGCCCGTCACAGTCTAAATCTTAACACGGCTTCACTGTGTCATCTGTACTTGGTATTTTGTTTTATTGACTGCCTCCCTGAGTAGAATTAAACCTGCGTGAGTGCAGAGTTTTCACTGCTATTTCTCTAGCCCCTAGACTAGCGTAAGTGCTCCAAAAGTGTCTGTAGAATGAAACTGTCAGTAAAACCCAGGACAGAATGTTATGCTGTCACATAAAGTCACTGACATTGCTTCCTAAGAGTTCCCTGACAAACCTCAGGTCACATTCTTGGATGTTTTTTCACCACGGACAGAGTTAAAACCCTCTCATCTTTCCTTCCTGAGCTTCATGAAAATAAGTATTCAAAAACACCTAAATATTTCGAAGTTGGATGTTTCTGAATGTCACCTCATTCTTGCCCACCCCTGATAATACTGTAGACAAAAACAAATACCACTTTCTCTAAATACCACCCAGCTGTCCAAGAGAAAGCCTCCGTGGCATCCAGGCTCCTTCTTCCCCTGATAAGTCGCGGAGAACCAAGGCTATTCTCCCTGCTCGACGTATCTAAGGCGCCGTACCCTCGACTGTCGAGGCCACCGCCCAGGTCCCTGCCACCATCCGCTGTCCTGAACCGCCGCGGCAGCCTCCGCACTCGTCTGCCGGCCTCCAGCCCGACACTTGTGTCCTCCCCGCCGTGCACCCAACTTCTCGCCGAACCACCACCGCGCGGCCGCCAGCCACACTGTCAGTATCGTTTGCGTCCCCGGGGCCCGAGGCGCAGTCTCGGCGGGGTCCTTCCTCTGGAACGCGCCTTTTCGGCTTCTTGCCTCCTACTCTGTCCTCGGAGACCGCCTTCGATCCGCTCTCCTCACCAGATCAGGCGCCGCCCCCCGCCCCGGACTGACTTCCCTTATCCCGCTGTCAACTTTCCGCTAGTCTCCATCTTCTTGGGCGTGTTTTCAAGGCAGAGCCCGAGTCTCAGCCTGACCAGAACGGAACCAAAGCCGCACCTGAGGGTTAGCCCACCGGTTGTTACCTGCATGACGGCACGGCGAAGCCCCGCCGAGGCCCCTGGGAAATGTAGTTTCAGCGAGGCAAGCCTCTAGGGGAGGGGTTTGAAAAGCGGGGCCCTATCTGCGCAGGCGCGCAACATTTTTCTCGCTGCGGGTTTGCCATCTGGGAACTGGTCTGGGAAGCAGAAGCGCGCAGCCTTCGAACTTGTGGGGATTCAGCTCAGCGGTTCCCAGGGCAACGCGCAAGCGCAGTTCATACTCGGGCTGCCGATTCCAGGTCTTTGTGTTCTGCAGGCAATGTGGCGGTTGCGATCTCTAGCCACCGGCAGGGGCTCCTCGCAGGGCAACCCGGTGGTGACCAGCACGGTGGCCAGAGCCTTATCTGGAGAGCGGGAGCGGGCGTGGGTGGTCGCGCCCGGGGAGAAGGACGGAGGTAGGTCTGGGAGGTAGGTCTGGGTAGAGCTCCGTTCAGGAGGAGGCTGATCTGGTTCCTCAAACTTACCGGGATATATAGCTAAGGTTTGATTCCAAGAAGAGGGAGGACGACCGTGTGTGGGCTTTTGGGTTTCGAATCCGAATCTGTCAGTGCTGGTGGAAAGCGCTGTCAGGGCTTCTGGCGCGTATCTTGGAGCCGACCACCGGAAGCCCGAATACGCCCAGGGGTAGATGCTCTGGGTGGGGTACGGAGCCCAGTCCGCGGAATCCTCCCCGCGGCCACCCCCCTGTGTACCTAGCAGAGCAGAGGGCGGTAGGATGGGCTGGGTTGTGTGAAGCCTCTAACCAACCCCCCGCCCCTCACAAGCAAATACACTGCTTGCCCGCGCACCTTTGACTCCAGTTCACTTAAACTAGGCCCCAGAGAAGGAGAGGCGCGAGGCCAGGGAAGGGCTTGGCTTGAGAGACGTCGGCAATGAAGATCCAGCCTTCCTAGTTTCTTTTTTGAGGAGGAAGACGACCCTCCTTCCGCACTTCCTCCACTCCTCTCCCAGAATTAGGCAGCTGTCCAGTGAGGGGACACTTCTCTAGAGATTTCAGCATAACTTAAGGGCAATGGCCGGAGAGTGGGGACAAAGCATGAGAACTGGGGCAGGAGGGCAAGTCAGTGCTTTTAGTATATGGAAGGGAAGATGCGGAGAATTTGAGTCGGGCGCTAGGAGAAGGATGGGAGCGGGGGCAGCATGGTGCGTGGAGGCCACCAGAAATACTCTTAGAGGGAGGAGAGAGAATGGGGAGCAAATAGGGAATAAGGAGCCAGGGCTGGGGGCTGGAGGCCGCCCGGGAAGTGCATGTTCACAGCCTCACTCAGGACAGTGTGCAGTGGCTTGACCTGGCTGGCTGTCCCCTCATGACAGGTGGGGAGGAGTTTCTGGCCTGAGGAGCCCTGCTCTGCTTGTTCCTAAAAGTGCTCCTCAGAGAAGAAGGAATGGCTGTCAGGCGCCTGTCAGGCACGATCCAGGTGAGTGGGTGTTGCTGTGCGCCCTCCCCGCCCCCCGCACTGAATCGCCATGGAAGATTGAATGTAGAGGTTTGGAGAGTGGGGCATTTTTTTTTTCCCTGACCAGGAGCTTTTTTCCCAATCCGGTCTCACTTGGAGGCCTGACCCAGTCACTACTTTCTCCCCCACCCCCCATGGCAGGCTCATCCTAGTGGGCGTCAAGCTAAGGAACTGGTTAAAGGTCACCTAAGTGACAAAAACTGGAACTGGAACCGGAACCTAGGTTGGTCTGAAATGGAAACCTGCACTCTTCCTACTAGCAAGTGCGATTCTGGTCTCAGTGGTAAAGGCGGTTCCTGAGCCAGGAGCTGAGAAGAGAGAGCGGGTGGAACAATTTCTTGGGGCAGTAGGATTTACTGGACTCTATTTTAAAAATTTTTTATAATGACATTTGGTTTTTTACTTCAGAGGAATATTGCATACCAATGAAATTATTCAAAAGCTGTGGTACATGTATACAATGGAATGTTACTCAAACAAAAAAAAGAATGAAGTCTAACCATTTGCGACAACATGGATGGACCTAGAGGGTATTTAAGCAGAGTGAAATAAGTCAGACAAAGACAAATACCATATGATATCACTTATATGTGGAATCTAAACAACAAAATAAAAACAAAGAGTCATAGGTCCAGAGAACAAACTAATGTTTGCCAGATGGGGATGGGGTTGGGTGGCTGGGAGAAAAACGTGAAAGGATGAAGAAGTACAAATTGTTAGTTACAAAATAGTCACGGGGATGTGAAGTACAGCATAGGGAATATAGTCAATAATATTGTCAATAATATTGTCATAACTATATATGGTATGTACTACTAATTAGGATCACTTCGTAAATTATATAAATATCTGATCACTATGTTGTACACCTTAAACTAATATACTATTGTATGTCAACTGTAATTGAAAAAAAATTTTTTAATTTCTTAAAAGATGTGTTTTCAATTGCAATAAATTACTGAAAGGCTCTGAGCAGTGCCAGCCTCTATAGAGTATGGGTATGGACTATACTTTGAAGGATCAGCATTCAGCTGAGTGTATAAATTCTGATGAATTTGATTAAATTGTTCTCATTCCTTCACATTTAAGCCTGTCCAGGGTAGGAACCGCTGGCAGAAATCACTGAAAGGGCTGAGCAGCCTGTCGAAGGTGCTATGTTCAGCCCAGTCACACTCACTGGCTGCTCCTGGTCCCACCCCTGGATGTTGACTTTTCCTTTAGGACCCATTTTGGGCACCACTTTCTCCGTGAGGCTGGTCTCCATGGTGCTAGTCCACTGTGCTATTTCTCTTCCCTGACCTTTTCATCAAGTTCATTGTGTCACACAAGTATCTTGTGTTTACAAGCTGCTTTAATTTGGTTGCCTTTCAACAGACCTGTATTAGGTGTGTAAGATGTGCAGCGGTCAACAGGGTTGGGCTTGCTATTACAGGAATCGGTGACCTTCAAGGATGTGGCTGTGCTCTTCACCCAGGATGAGTGGGCACAGCTGAACCCTGCTCAGAGGGCCCTGTGCAGGGATGTGATGCTGGAGAACTACAGCAACCTGGTCTCGCTGGGTGAGTGCTGGGATGCCTCTCTGGAGCCCTCACACTGCTTGCACAGAGAAGGCCGGGCTGGGCACAGGCTGACTGAGGATGTTATTTTCAAGGCTCCGACATGCCTGTTCTTGGTGTCCCGGGCACAGGATTCTTTTGGAGCCTAAGGTGAGTAAGGGTCGAATCCTCCCTCCCTTCGGCAGGGAGAAGGGCCGGGAACAGGTTGTCTGTGTCAGGCCTGAGCCATCTTCTTGTCCTCTGGGAAAATGTCTCTACCCTAGGCCTTCCTATCAAGTCACCTTTTCCAAAAAGTTTCAAGAATCAGATCTCATCCTTGCAGTGATTTTATCTCTAATATGAACAGATGTGCTCCATTTTTTTCCCTCAAAAACAGGACTCTTAGGACCCAAGCCAGATATATTCGCCGAGCTTGGGAAAGGGGAAGAAGAATGGGTGCCAGACACCGCTGGAGGCTCCTGTCCGGGTAAGAATCCCGCATGTGGGAGACATTGGGAGAAACTCAGCAAATGCAGCAAGCCGTGGGCTGAGAAATGAGCATCTTTTCCCTTTTGTTCACTTCGATACTTTGTTGCCACATTTGTCCCCACCTGCATGTGGCCCTCCTTCTTTGTGGTAGTTTGGGCCTCCCTGGACCCTTGTCTCCGTGGTTTTTTTTCTCTCCCTGTTTGTCATAGATTAATAGTCCCCGGTTTAGAAAAGATCTCACTTGTAATCTGGGCGGCTCCCCCACCATGCTTGCATGTCCCTTGTCCTGTTTGGCATGTGACAGACAGTGCAGCCTCTGCTAACACTTCTTTAGCAAGGAGGAGCCATGCTGGGTCACCCACAGCAGGGCGGCTTCTGGTCCTACAGGCCAGTTACCTTGTGCTTGCTATGGCTGCTTTCCTGGCTAAACATTGCACGTCTCTTCAACTCCCTTCCTTTTTGTTCATACTCGTGTACAGACAGCCAGCCAACGTGTAATTTTTCAGCTTTTGTGGCACTGCACTGGGCTCTCAGCACCAGGAGAGCAAGGCCAGGTCCATGGGATGTTTTACTTGGCACCTGGTGAGTGGCATAGATTTGTTGCTTGGGGACCCAGAGAACATGACAGTTTAGTGGCTGTTTCTTGTCTCGAGCAGCCCACTGGGTCTGGTAGCTTTAAGACCAGGAGTGAGGGTGCCTCTCCTACATCTCAGTGTTCTAGAGAGCATGCTGCCTTAACTAAGATATTACAGCAGGTCACTTTCACTACAACATTTTTGCAGTTTAGAATATTTAAATATATATTTTAAAACCTTTTGTTATTGACTTTGCCCAGTGAAGTAGGCAGGAATTTATCTCCTACAGTAAATAACTCTATACCTGGAATGTTGAAGACCCAATCTGTTATGGAATTTAAATGTCTTAACTCCAAAACAGTTATCAAAAAAAATCTTTTAACTTACTCCAATAGTGTTCTGAATTTGTAGGTTCTATTTTAACCAAACTAAGGCATTGTAATATTTCATTTTGTATTATACAAGCAGTGTGATACCAAAAAAAGAGGAGGGAATTAAAAGAAATCCATCCTCTGTCCTACCACTCTGGCATCATAACCTCATTTATTCTTCAATTTATTTGTCATTAACACTCATTCTTTTTTGCACTTGTGGGGGAGCATGAAGACAAAGAAGGACTTTGATGCCCACAGGGGACTTTAGAGCCAGGTGTGGGTCACAACTTTAAAAACCAGGTGGGGGTGCTTGATTCCTTCCCAGGTGCCTCTCACAGCCCTTGGTTCCAGACCTCTTATTTCTGCATTGCCTGGATACCCCAAACTTGGAGCCCATTCATGAAGGAAGATTAGTGGTTATCTGGTCTTGGAAAGAGGTCTTATTTTATATCTCCCAATAAAGTGGTTATCTGGTCTTGGAAAGAGGTCTTATTTTATATCTCCCAATATAGATTTATAGCTGTTTCCCCCATTTCTTAATAAGGTTATGTATTTTTACTTTTGAACCGTATCATCCCCTTTTGCTTTTTAACTGGAAATTGCTACTGTAAAAAGATGATAATCATTTCCAAATATTTATCCCCCTTGTCACTCTGTCTTATTCTTAAAATATTCTTTGGACTCCTTTTCAGTTTTTGTTTTTACTTCTATTTCACTTCTTAATGACTGGCTAGGACTTCAGAAACAGCGAAGGACAATGCTACTGGGTTTGCTCTGATTTTTAAGAGACTGGATTGAGACCTTTTTCATTGTTGCATCAATTACTCTTGGTTTAGAATAGACACTTAATTTTTAATAGGAATAAGAACAAGTCCTTTTGATAAGTAGCTTTCCTTCTATATTTTTCTCTTCCCTGGGTCATGAGCTTATAGAGGGAGGAAAAAGCTGACTGAGTGCCCATGGCTGGGCACCCTGCTGAGTGATTTCAGGGGAATTATGTCAGTTGCCATCTTTAATAATTACAGCCTGTGGGGCAAGTATGGTGAACCCCACTTTATGGAAAACCAAGCCTCAGAGTGGTTAATCAATTTGGACGGATTTAATGTTGCTATTACATGGCAAGCCAGGATTAGGGTGAAGCCAGCATGAAACCCATCTGACCCTCAAATGTGTCATTTTTTTCTCCTCTAAAATGGCTTTAATTACACAGAAATTGTTTACTCAGTAAACCTAAAGAAAACTACCTGATCCCTTATTTTGAGTAGTTTGCTAATAACTTTTTGTATTTTTTTTCTTATTTATTAATCCGTTTATGTTTGTTTTTTGTTATATCAATTGTACATTTTACCCTTTAGCTTAAAATAATCAAATTTTAACTATAAAATGTATTCATTTACAGTTGTGCATGATATGCCTCTATAATTTTAACATTTTAATATTATGTCCTCTTTCTCATTCCTCATTTTACCTGCATATTTTTTTCTCTTAAATTTGTTGGCAATTTTTTTTTAGAAAACCAGCTTTTATTTATTTCTCTGACATGTAATTTTATCTCTACACTTAGCATTATCGTTTCCTTTCTTTACCTTAAATAAGTGTGTTTTGAATATACATCCTAGGTACAAAAGAGGATATGTAATATTTTTTGATCAGTTTGAGGAATAAAGGAACAACACCCATACATACCCCACTGTCAGCTTAAGGATCAGAAAGTAGTGGCACATGTGAAGTCTCGCGTGCGCCCCCTTGAGCCTTCCTCCTTTCCTGCCGGCAGCTCTGTGCTGGTCTCCACAATTTTACCACATTGACCCACAGCTCGAAGCAATTTTATGGCTGTAAAACTTGATACATATATATTGTACTACAGATACTTTTCCACACCTTCTGTTTTTATTTTATTTTATTTTTTAAATTTTATTTTATTAGTTTCAAGAATATACAGTACATTGCTTAGACATTTATATAGTTTGTAAAACAATCCCCCTGATTGCTCTTTCTCTTCTGTGGCTCTCCACCTAGCCAAAATATTAATGTTAACTGCATTCCCTATGCCATTCTTCCCATCCTCGTGACCATCTATCAGCTAGTAATTTGTACTTCTTTAACCCTTCACCCCTTTCTCCCAGCCCCCAACCTCACTCCCCTCTGTCCGTCACCAGATTGTCCTCTATATTTGTGAGTCTGTTTTTGATTAGTCCGTTCTTTTTGTTCCTTAGATTCCACATGTAAATGAAATCATATGGTATTTATCTTTCTCTGTCTGACTTATTTCACTCAGCATAATAACCTCTAGGTCCATCCATGTCATTGCAAATGGTACGATTTCATTTTTTTTAATAGCTGAGTAATATTCCATTGTATATATGAACCATAATTTATCCAATTGTCTGTTGATGGGCATTTAGGTTGCATCCATATCTTGGCTATTATAAATTGTGCTGCCATGAATATAGGGGTGCATAGATCTTTATGAATTATTGTTTTGGTTTGCTTTGGATAAATACACAGAAATGCAACTGCTGGGTCAAAAGGTGTATCCATTAGCGGGGTCGTCGCTCGTCAGCTATTCTAGTGACTCAGGCAGTGTGCCTACCCACGTACCAACCACACAGGGCTCATTCTTACCACAACTTTTGTTTTTAAATCCTTGTTCAGATGTGTAGCTCCAGGTGTTTCTTAACTGCACTTTGGTATTCCTTCAGTGATTGCTCCTTAATTGATCCTTTCTCTGGCTGATAGACCCAGAGGTTGTTTCCAGACGTTTTGCTGTGTTGACTAATGCTGACCTAAATATTCCTGTATGTACTTCCTTTTGTACACATAGGCCTTGTTTGGGACTTTCTTTAGCATATTCATAGATAAATAAATACTGCGTTTAACGGTATGTGCTTCATCACCACTCAGTTTTCCCTGATTGCTGATTAAACGAATTCCAGATTATGCTAATAGTTGATGTAAGTTCCTATTATCTTACATTCTTGCCAAAATTTGGAACATTCAGACTTTTAAAAATTCTCCTGGTCCCATTCCTGAAAAACGGTGCCTCATCGTGGTCTTAATTTGCATTTCCTTGTGCAATTGAACATCTTTTTATATGTTGACTGTTTGTGTCCTGTAACTTACATTCATATTTTTTGCCCATTTTTCTATTATAGTTATCTTTTTCTTATTCATTTTTGGGAGTTCTGTATATATATCTGGGAATCTAATACTTTATCAGTTAGTATATATTTCAGTCTATAGCTTATCTTTTCTCTTTCTTTACTAATAGCAATTCGTAATTAATGAACTACAATAGATCAGTCTTTACCTTTATGATCTTTATCTTAGTCCTTTTTGTTTCCTGTTTAAATAATCCTTTCTGCCCTCAGATCCATGAGGGAAGGACCAATTTGCTCTGGTGTCCTCATCACACCAGGTCCCAGTATGTATTTGTTGAATGAAAGCATGAATTTCTAAGCAGCTGTGAGAGGGGCCATCCTCCCTGCCCCATGTCTTGGGGGAAAGGCACTCAGCCTTTCACCATTGAGTTAACATTAGAGATAGGTTTGTTTATAGATGTTGTTTATCAGGTTAAGGAAATTTACACCTATTACTGGTCTGATAAGAGTTTTCTTATAAACAGATGTTGAATTTTTGTCAAATGCTTTTCTGAATCCTTAAAATGATGCTATGGTTGATATAGTGAATTACTGCAATTGGTTTTAAAATGTCAAATAAAATTCACATTCCTGGGATAAACTCAGTTTCGTCTTGATTTAGTATCCTTTTTAAATATTACTAGATTTAATTTGCTAACATTTCGTTAAGAATTTTTGCATCAGTATTTATGAGCAATATTAGTTTGTAATTTTTTTCCCCTTGGTATCAGAGTAATGTTAGCCTTATAAAATGGATTTGGAAGTTTCCCCTTCTCTTCCATTTTCTGGTAAAATGTGTGGAGAATTGGCATCATTTCTTCATTAAATGTTTGGTAGAGCCAGCAAAGTCTGCTAGGCTTTTTTCCTTTTCTTTACCTTTTTTTTGGTGGGAAGGTTTTAAACTGCAAA